TTTTATTTAATAATTACAAATTATAATTATATATTTCAATATAATCTAAACTATACTCTACATTTCTTAATGAAGAAATAGTCAAATATGGTTAAAAGCTTGGTCTCACTTTGATTTGGTCAAGGGGATGGTGAGAGAAATAGAGAAGAGATGACCCTCTGAGGTTATCATGAAGGGATACTGACGTCAAATGCCGACAACAAAATTAAAGGTTCTTCAATACACTTGTTTCGACTTAAATGCACATGGCTGCACTTATTGCCACTCTTCCCTTCGTTTTTTTTTTCCTTAATTATACAATAAAAGACGATCATTTTCACCAACCGGGTCTGAGACCCAATGGTTGGTCCCCAAGTCTTAGGGCTTGAGTGAGGCGGATGTCAGGGCTTCGAGTTTTGTCACCGCCGTGAACTCCATCAACTTGCAACCTAATGGTCGCGCGCCTCATATGAGGGGGTGGAACATTCACTATCCTAGAAAATTTCAACGGCTAACAAAACTAACTCTACTAACTTCCTAACCATCTACTTGGTTAAAAAAAAAAAAAAAGATGATCATTTTCTTTTCTTATTTTACCTCACCCACATGTCATACGATTTAAATTTAAATTTTTTTATTATTAATAAAAAATGATATCCATTCAACTAATTAGATTATTGATATCTTTTTTAATTTTATGAATTAGTATTTTAATACACTTGTTTAAATTTAAATGCACGTGGACCGATGACTGTAGTTATTGTCACCTTTCATTTTATTTTTGTAATTTTATGAATTTATAATTTTTTATACAATTAATTATAATATTTAAAATATTTATTTATAAATAATAAAGATTAATTACCTTATCAATTATAAACTATTTTTAACATTCAAATCAAAATAAAAATTTAACACTTTAAGTGACCTTAACTAAAACCTGATATATCTAGTCCCTTCTTCAAGCATAATCAAGCAGATGTTTTCTCTTCTTGATGATAATGTATCCACCTCAACAATCTGGCTATCTACGAGAAAACGACGATGATTTCGCCATCACCAACCTGTAGGGAAATAATATTGTTTAGGTGGAGAAGAGAGCGACTAATTTCGGATTTTAAAAGACTGGGAACTGTTGAGACACACAGAAAGGAGTGGAAATGCTCCCTCGTCTTCCCTTGGAAAACAGCGGTAACCTAACCTTCTTGTCTCCTTGTGTGTTGATGAATTTTGCACATTCAGCTTTGGACCATAAAGTGTTGGGAGTCAATATCCCTCCACATATTTACGTCCAGTGTGTTGAAAACAAGAATAAAAAAAGTATTGCTGTATTTAATTAAATCGAGTTCAAACATGGTATCCTAACTCAATCAAACTTAATAGGTTAAATTCTTAATTTGGCCCCTAAATTATTGCATGGATCTCTAATTTAGTCTTTAAACTAAAAAAATCTTTGCTTTGGTCCCTAAACTATTGTACAGATCTCTGATTTGGTCCCTAAACTAAAAAAATCCCTGATTTAAGCCCTAAACTATTGTACGAATCCCCAATTTGGTCCCTATTGTTATTGGTTTTCGTCATTAAGTTACTATTTTTCGTCATTAAGTTACTGTTTTTCGCCATTAAATAACAGACATGTTAGTTTTTTTTTAACAGAAGAACAAACTTTGGGCCAATTGGTAAACAAAAAGGACCAAATTAGGGTCTGTACAACAGTTTAAGAATTGAATCAGGAGTCCATACAATAGTTCAGGGATCAAATTGGGGGTTTAACCAACTTAATAGTTTATCAAATTTAATAGTTTATCAAAAAAAAAAAAAAAAACTCAATCAAACGTTGACATCTCATTAAAGTAGGCCAACTCATCTTTAACATAAAAACAGTTCAGCACAGTTTAATGGAGAATTTCTACAGCCTTTCTCTCATCTTCCCTTTCAGTTACTACTCTAATTCTTCTCAGATCTGCGTCTCATAATTTCTACAGAATGATTCATTGTGGTTCCTGAAAGTTGCTTTTTCTCCTAAACTCATTTCCAAAAATTTTCTTTTGTCTCCCCACCTCCCTTCATTTTGACCTTGAGTTGAAAGTTTTTGGCTTTTGGTAATGGAATGAAAGCCTAAAAACGTTGAATTTTCATTTTTTTTTCTTGTTTTTTTTTAAGATGTGACGGAAATGTTGAAATGCAAGGAGAGAGATGTCGATGACGACCCAATTTTCGTTTCCTAGCTAATACTTTTTTCTTTTTTCCCCTTTGAACAGGGTAATCTTTTTGAGAAATGTGACGTTTTTAGTTCTCTTAATTCCCTTACATAATAATTTACGTGTTCCTTTCTCCTTTCCAAATTTCCACAACCTTGTAAGGAATTACATATTCTATTTGTTGCTTTAATCATCCATTAGTTTATCAGTAATTTCGAAATCCCCTTGCATCCACTGTTCCCAAATCGCAGAACGCATCACTGCAAAACAGAAGGCAAGCTTCTTGGAGAGGTGGGATTATAATTGCCATCGTTGTTGTCAGAGACGAAGTAGTGGGTGGAGGACGAAAGGGAAGATTTGGGAAGGATTAGAGAAGAGATACATCGTGGGGATGTGAATTAACTAGCGAGAAAGGGAGTGTGGAGAGACCCCATTAAACCGCATCCGTTAATGTGTGCTAAGATGTTTTTAATGAATTTAATGAAACAATGAGGTGGGCAAATTTAATGAGCTGTTGTTATTTGATTGCTTCAGGATATCATGTCAGCTGGTATACGTGGGATACACTAGAATTTCTCGTAACCTAACCTCTTCTTGTTTCCTTGTGTCGAAGAATTTTGCACTTTCAACTTTGGACTGTAACGTGTTGGGAGTCAATAATATCCCTCCACATTTACGCCCAGTGTGTGGAAAACAAGATTTAAAAAAGCATTGCTGTATTTAATTAAATCAAGTTCAAACATTCCTATGGTAGATGATCATATATAAGACACAGATCAAGTCAGTATATACGTACCTGTAGCGAATTGGGAATGACTTGCATCGTTGCATTAAGTGCTTTTGCTTTTCCACTGATGGCGCGAGCAAAGCTCTCAAGACAGCTATAGATTCTCCAACAGATTTATTAAAAGCAAAACCAGAAACTACCTTCCTGCAGTGATCCTTAGCAATCAAGCTAGGCCAACATGATCCCCATCCAGCATCACAATTAAATTTAACAAAGCCTCTAAGAAGTCATTGCCACCTTGATACCATGCAATTCATCCGACAAGGGAAATCCCAGTCTTTCTAATTCATTCGATACATAACACAGAAAGAAATATTGTTAGATAAGTTAACTATCACAACGTTCTTTTAGGGCCAGGAAAAACAAAGTTTTCTGAAGGTAGAGTCAGTTCACACGCCTGCGCTTGTTTTTAAGGTTCTCAAAAATCTGGTGCACATCAGCAGCTGTGATTGCCTTCGATGGATCAACCGATGCCTATCAAAAAGAAGAGAGAGAAACAAAAAAAAGAAGTTTAAACATTTTTTCCCAATAAACTAGTAAATTTACACCTTAAGTGCAGTAAACTTGCATTTTTAAAGATAAATGAATGAATTCTAATGATGCAAGAGAGACCAACATTTATGGCTACCCCTTGAACTAGCCTGAATATAGAGTTGGTTACAGGGTAAGCTATCAAAACATGCATGACAAGTGACATACCAGAAAGGAAAGGAACTCATCTTTAAAGTCTGCAATGCCATTCAGGATTTCAATTTTTTCTACATGACCAAGATTGTTGAAGAAATTTAGTGCAGCTCCCTCCCGTTGCTGTAGATTCTCTTCTCTCTTTTGTTTTGCCCTTGTCTCATACTCTGCAATAGAGTCCTCCTTGTCAAGCAGGTAACTGATATTCTTCTGCTTGTACATATCCAAGCATTTCTGACATCTGCAGAGTTTATCTCTCCAGTTCTTGGAAAGAAAAAGGGGTTTGGCATCTGAACTAGAAGCTGCAGCAACTGGATCCACTCCAAGAACACAACTAACCGATGAACTTGCATGATTTGTGCACTGACTTGGGTTGTTGTGCTTCTGAGAACTTTCTCCAATAACAGTTTTTGCACTACCAGGTACAAATTCACTGTTACCATCAGCTGCCAAATCATTCCTCTTGAGCGATGGATCACCATCAGGCTTTGTGAATCCACTATCTTGACTGGTGTCTTCTAAAACAGCTTTATCCTTACCAGTAGTGATAGGAGCAGCAGTGTGGCCCCCCACTGCCCATATGGTTGAAGGATATAGCATCAGAAAAGAACAAACCACTGAGCAAGTCTTGCATATGAAATCCTCATATAGAGGCTCTCCTTCCTCATCCCTGGGTATCTGTAGCACAGGCTCATTTTATCACATTCTATCATAATAACTCAACAAAGAATGTAAAAGCTACTGGCTATTGCTGAGTTAGTCTTTTATATTTCCTTTTGATTTTGCATAGGTACAGCGCAAACTAGCCATAGATCTAACTTGCTTTTCAGATTAAATGACACAGCCTATGGATATCAACATCATCAACAACTTAGCACTGGTGTAAGAATATTGCCAGAGAATAATTAAAACAAGAAAATATATATATGTTTAATATGAGAAATGCTAAAACATTAGTTCAGGAACGCATCATACAAACCTCATTGGGAGAGTTCAGACTGATGTGCTTCTCATGAAACCAATCTTCACACATACAGCATTGTATCATCTCTTCTTGTTCCTCAAGTTCGGGATCAGGATAAGGACGACTGCACGTACAGTATAAACCTTTAAAGTTGTGATTATAAGAATTCTCAATATTCTCTGCATCCTTATTTGGGAATAGCTTGCATGAGAACTGGCCAAATTTTGAATTCCCACAGTCACACCTGAAATTCCTCTTGGTCCAGAGCTCCAGAACCTTCTTTTCATTGCAACAAATAAAATTTCATCAGCCATAAGGACACAAATCAAACATGCTGAAATTGATTTTCAGTAATTAACAAGCATGTACAGATTCAAATGTGTCCAGTCAAATAATCCTAGATAAAAGTATTAAGCTAGCCATATTTTGTACTCAATACAACTGGTCCTTAAGAAAAGAATAAACAATGAGAACTTAGCCAAGGTAGTACCCACTAACTTCAAAATCCTTATTTCTAGGGTTAGAGTCAGAAGTTTCAGCCTTTATAATAGCTAAGCACTAACTTCTGTGGTGATAAAAGGTTTTTTAAAAAATGGTTCAGTTTAGAGATGACTTTATCTGAGCTCTCATAGGCATGTTTAGAGAGAGTGCAAGTGATGCAGGCCAAACTTTTGTAAGACAATTAATACAGAATAACAGATCAGCACCCCAGAAGGTCATTAATATTCCAATTTGGAATGGAAAACAAAGGCCGAACAAGGAAATATGCTAGCTATAGCGCATAAAGTTTGGGATAACTGGAAACTCCAAA